AAAAAAAAAAAAAAAAGGAAAAAAAAAAAAGAAAAAGAAAAAAAGCATATATAGAATATAAAATATGCTTTCAGGATGCTTAATAGATAGCCCATTCCATGCAAAACAGACAAAAAATGGATGAAGAACTATCAACAAGCTATGTCTACATGCCCAGATAATTGCCCAGCAGATAATGGCCAGCTTAACTGCTGAACTGAGCAGCATGCAGGCCTGGAGCTCCCCCTACAGTATGACAACATTGTACATCTGACTGGTCAACGCACACCTCTGAGGTTCACGTCACATCAAACGTTCTCCTCAGAATACAATTTGACTGGCTAGGATTCCATTCCTTAAGTCCGTGTGAAATGTGCCCATTAAACACACAGGCTTTGAGAGATGCTGTAGGTAGAGTAATGTTTAATAAGAGTTGATGTTTTTGAGGAATCTCTGCAGGAATTTTCCACTGTTTCCATTTTTCTGCACTTTGGCTTTCACCCTGTAGAGGGGCTGATTTCCTCCTATGAACAGCAAAGTGGTCCACAAATGTAGTCCACAGAGCAGGTGACATAGGACAGGATCTGTCCACTGCTTCTTGGAAAGCCTGGTGAAGGCTCCTTTCCTGCAAGAATAGCCCTCACTCTATTCATCCTTCCAATTCCTCCGTTCATGCTACTTTATATTTCACCTTCTTACCTTTCTTTTTACTAACTGTTCTCTCCACTTTCCTTCCCCAGTGCTTCCCCTTCGTTGCTGCTTGTTTTTGTTTTTCCTGAGTTTCACTTACCTTACTTTCACTTATCATTAGCCCATTTCTGCAACAACATCTCTGCAAAGTGACGTGTATTGAGCAACAGCATATTCTTCTGGAAAAAGCAAAGACTTCGTGTGAGTCAGCTTCACAGCAGAAATTCGCACCAAGGTAGCCTTTACAGAAAGGTACACATCGCGAAAAAAACCGTTGCGAAGAGACGTCCCTGACGTTCGGCAGCACTGACGCGGTGCGGCGGAGCCGGGGGTGACAGCGGCCGAACCTCCTGCGTGTACAAAACCTGCCGCTAGGGGGCGGGAGAGAGCGGCTCGAGCAGGGATGGAGAGAAGCCGACGTGCAAGAGACAGAAGTTCATCAGGCGGTTATCACCCGCAAAGGGCAGGGTCGTCACACTGCATGTGCAGGATTGTCATCCTCCGCCGACACAGGCTGTCATGATATCCACGCGAAGGAGAGCAAGGATGTCTGCCCCTGCCAGAAAGGATACTGAAACCCTGACTGAGTTCGGAAGCAGCTGTGCACCTGTCCAAACCTCTGTGTTTGGATGGATGTTGTCTGAATGAGCCTTTCCCTGGCAGAACAGCTGCGTGAGGTGTGAGCAGGTAGAAGATCTGCTCTGACTTGTGATGAGGCTACAGGATGAAATATACAGATTAAAAAGTGTCATGGGGGACAAACCACAATTCACCCATGCACTGACAGGTTATTTCAAGGGAAAGAACACAAAACACAAGGCTGTCTGTATCACATCAGGTCAAGGAAAAAATTGCAAGGCTGGAGGCAAGAACACAAAGGAAAAAAGCAGGTGGAAGCAAGTTAGTGCTTGAAGCCAAGTACAAAAGCCCTCCTGGCCTTCTCCACCTTCCTCCCTCCCTCTCCTACCCCTCTCCCTCCCCAGCCCCAGGTGCCTCTGTACAGCAGGTATGAGGCCCTGGATGTGGAAGGTCCATCTGTGGGTGATAACAATCCACTCAGTCTAGACAAACTAATGAAACCAAACCACAAAAAGCCTTCTCCCAGCATCAAGGCTACACCATTGAAAAACAAGAGATGGATATTAGCTGCAGGTGATTCTTCTCTACAGTGAACTGAATGTCCAGTATGCTGAGCAGATCCCCTTAGAAAAGTCTGCTGTCTTCCTGGGTGGGAAATGTCATCAGAAAACTATCTAGCATGGTACAGCCATCAGACAGCAGCCCCTTACTGCTTTTCCATACTGGAAGATATGAAGCAGCTACATGTGCATCAAGAGCTATCAAAAGGGACTTCGAGACCTTGGGATGACAGCTAAAGGAATTGAATGCACAGATCATCTTTTCTTCTCTGTCTCCTGTATTGAGTAAGGACATTTAATTCATCAAACGACCTCATCTTTAAACACCTGGTTCTGTCAGTGGTGCCATTGCCAGAACTTTGGCTTTTTGACAGTCAGATGGCTTATATGGCACCAGGTTTGTGGGCACGAGGTAGGGTTTGCCATTCTCAAAGAGGGAGAAAGGTCCTTGGGGAAAGGCTTAGTGGGGGTCATTGGGAGGGTTTTAAACTAGGTCTGAAGGGGAATGGGGGGAATAGTAAGCCTTTCCATGATGCAGTGTAGGAGAGCATAGCTAGATTAGACGGACAGAGTGCTGGCAGATGTGGGAATCAAATGTTTTTTCTGCATTAGAATTGGATAATATTTTTTTATTTCACAATCTCTGCTCATAGTTCTTTTTGGGTGTCTTTCTACTTTACTTGGGGAGGGCTCTGATAGTTTGCATCACTTATCCTCTGGATGAACCTTCCCCAGGAATGCACTCTCTGTATATAGGTGCATATATGTATATTTTGTCATACACACTGCAAGAATATCCTGCACGAGATTGATTAAACCAGAGAACAAGTCATGGCATGACCAAGGAAGTGTCTGAAGAGACATCGGAAGGCCTGGCATCATTCTCCCTCCCCCCCTCTACTCCCCCTCCGGTGCCCTTTGTTTAACGAAGACTTCAGAGAAAGTCACCGTATCAACATGACAAGAAGAGCACTGAGACATCTTGGAAACAACAGGAGGACAGGACTGACATCAGATAACAAATAAATTAACAAGTAATTAACAAATGTAAACCTTCTGATAAGATTGTGAACCTGGAGTACCCAGCCAGTGGGGAAACAGGGGAGGAGGGGGAGGCAAGGGGGAGAAAACAGGGTATAAAGGCTGTCATGTTGTGTCCATAGGTGCGCTCCTGCTTGCGGGATGCCTGCTATTGCAATCGCGAATAAATTCTGCTTTTATCAGAGATACCATCCTGACAAAAATTACTTGGACATTTCCAACACAGAGGCCTTGAAGAACCCTCTGCCTTGAGAGGTGGTGGAAACACTGCAACACATACAAAATCCTTTGATGACAAGGCAGTAGCTGTTGCAGCAATAGGAAAAGGCAATGGGAAAAATGAAGGGAAGTATTTAAAAGGGATTAAGGAGTTATGCTTTAAGGAAGTGACAAGACCAGCTGCCCAGCAGAAGTGCCTCTACACCAATACATGCAGCTTGGGAAATAAACAGGAGCTGGAAGCTACTGTACTACTAGAACATCATGATACAGTTGTCATCACTGTTCAGTCTGGAAAAGGCTCTGAGGTGACCTGATAGTGATCTTTCAGTGTCTCAAGGAGAGCTACAGGAAAGAAGGGGACAGACTCTTAAGCAGGGACTGTGGTGATAGAACAAGGGGAAATGGCTTCAAGCTTAAAGATGGTAGATATAGGTTGGATATAAGGAAAAAGTCCTTCAGAATGAGTGTGGTGAGACACTGGAACACGCTGCCTGGAGATGTGGTTGATGCCCTGTTCCTGGAAACCTTATAGGCGAGGCTGGATCAAGCCCTGGACAACCTCATTAGTTGTGCATATCCCTGTTCATTGCAGGAGAGCTGGACTAGATGACCTTTAACGGTCCCTTCCAACTTTAAGGATTCTATGATTCTATTACCCTGGAGATCACTTCTTGTTTATTTCCTTGGAGGTGGACACACATTTCCTTACACATATTTAAGCTGAAGATTCTTGAAATCCCCTTAGTACTGACAAACACATTTTCATAGCTTTCCAGTCATGCCCACTTTCATCTTATACATATAACCAAGCTAGCTGAAATGAGATGGGTCTCTTTCCTGGCACCAGTTCCAATTCCTAACATAGTTCAGAGGAATGTTAGTTCCATGAGAATTGGCTTTTTGTCTCTCTGAAGTCATGTACAGTTTCTGCTCTCCCTGTCCCTTCCCCACACTTCGTTCTGGTTAAAACAAAGACCTACCTGTAACGTAGTAATCATAGATCTGCACAGGAGCTGGCTTGGGATGAGTCACTACAAAGTCCTGTTCAACTGAAAAAATGACTTCCTTTCTCCTCTTTTGCAAGATCTGGTAATGGAAGGATGAGGATCACATAAGACGTTTTGTTCATCTAACACAATCTGGAGTTGATCAATTATATATCCAATATATATATATATATATATATATAATATAATCAATATAATATACAAGATCATATATATCCAATCCCAGCTGGTACCCACTGATACAGATGTGGGAAATCCATTATCTGCCTGCCAAGTCAAAATCAAAAATATTTTTGAAGAGTCCAAAGAGAGACTGAAGAGAAGAGCTGTAGGTTTCCAATCATGCTCGTATTATCTTTGTAAGATAAACAAATCCTATTGGCTTGAGGCAAGAGAGAGAAAAGAAGTCTCAAAAGACTGGTATTAATTCTCCAAGCAATTGTATTTCTATATGTACATTCTGGTCCAGAATTAGATTAAAAACTGGAGTTGGGAATGAATTGAAGTAAGAGAAGGAATTATTTTTTTTTCTAGATCTCTTAGTAGTGTTCCATGTCCTGTTAGAAGAACTGGAATTTAACAGAACATTGCCCAGGGAACATACACATAAAAGAACCTCCTTTTTGGTGTTTATTCACCATTTACAGAAAGGAGAAAGATTTTTGATTAGTTTATTAATACTTTTAAAATTAATTTTATATAGTTGCTAATAGGTATCAGTTTGAAGCTTTGTGGGATGTGTGGGATGTTACACACTTTGGGGAATAAGCAGCTTAGTGAGTAGAGGGCAAAGCTGATGGGGAGGGGAATATATCTGGGCACTTAAGAGAATGTAACTTCTCTGTAGGTGCATCTATAACATGCTGATTTTATTATTTGTTTAAATCAAATATCCAGTGTTTGGTACTTACATTTTCCAGGTAAAGGAGAACATGGTTTTTCTTGTATTCTACTTGCATCACTCTATGGGTATCGATGAGCTTTAAAACAAGGACATGGAGATAAATCCATGGAGTCATAGAATTATAGAATGGAAGTGAACTTTAAGATCATCTAGTTCCACTCCCCTTGCTATAGTCAGAGACACCTCCTTCTAGACCATGTTGCTCAAAGCCCCATCCAGCCTGGCTTTGAACTCCTCCAGGGAGTGGGAACCCACAGCCTCTCGGGGAGACCAGTTCCAATGTTTCACCACTTGCACAGTAAAGAGTTTCTTCCTAATATCTAGTCTAAATCTACTCTCTTCCAGTTTAAATCCATTTCCCCTTGTCCTGTTGCTATATTCCCTTATAAAAACTCTGCAACTTTTCTGTATGCCCCCTTCAGGTACTGGGAGGCTGCTATAAGGTTCCCCTGAAGACTTATTTTCTCCAGACTGAAGAGGCCAAACTATCTCAGCCTGTCATTGCAGGGGAGGTGCTCAAGCCCTCTGACCATCTCCATGGCCCTCCTCTGAACCCACTCTAACAACCTGATGTCCTTCTTGTGTTGTGGACGCCAGAACTGGTTGCAGTACTACAGGTGAGGTCTCAGGAGAGCAGAGGGACAGAATCTCCTCCCTTGACTTGCTGGTCACACTTCTCTTGCTGCAACCCAGGATACAGTTGGCCTTCTGGGCTGCAAGCACACATTGCCAGCTCATGTTGAGTCTTTCATCAACTGACACTCCCAAATTCTTCTCCTCAGGGCTGCTCTCAAGCCACTCTCTACCCAGCTTGTATTTGAGCTTGGGATTGACCTAACCCAAATGTAGGACCTTGCACTTGGATTTGTTGAACTTCACGAGATTGGCATGGGCTACCTCTCAAGCCTATACAGGTCCGCCTGAATGGCATCCTTTCCCTCTAGTACGTCAGCAGCACCTCTCAGGTTGGTGTCATCTGCAAACTTGCTGATATAAACCATAAACTAAAATTAAATGTTACCTCAGAACCTGCCACCTTGTGATTTCGCGTTCTGTTCCTAGCCAAATATCAAGGGCTGGTACCTGTTTTTTTTTAGAGTCTCAATTTTGCTGAATAGGTAGAGGATGCTGAGTAAAAACTGCCACTTGACTTAGTGGGGGCTTATATGCTGGGAAACACAGCTGTTTACTAGAGGGATATGCCTGCCTCCACTGTCATATAGGTTTCAAAATTAGTCTGCTATATTTCTGACCCTTTCCCTTCTCAAACAGTGCTGGTTCTGAGTTCTCAGCTGGTAAGGCTTCAGCTGAAACCCTTCTTAATTTTTATTACGGGAAAGTCAGTGTTATGTGCTCTCAGCTCCCTTCACCCAATACTGGGGATGATGCAGCCATACAAACACCTCACAGGGTTTTGTAGAATCATAGAAATAATTTACAGTGAAAAAGATCTTTAAGATCACCCAGTCCAACCATCATGTAACACTACAAGTCTATCACTGAACTATGCATGTCACTAAGTGCTACATAGAATCATAGAATCATGGTTGGAAGGGACTACCAGGATCATCAATCTCCAAACCCCCTGACACAGGCAGGGCCACCAACCTACAGATCTAATACTACACCAGGCAGCCCCATCCAATCTGGCTTTGAACACCTCCAGGGATGGCAACTCCAACACCTCCTTAGGCGTCCTGTTCCAATGCCTAACCACCCTCTCCATGAAGAAATTCTTCCTGTTGCCTCATGTCCTAATCACTTGTCACCTGATAAGAGACCAGCAGCCTCCTTGCCACAGCCTCTTTTCAGGTCATTGCAGAGAGCAAGATCTCCCCCCAGTCTCCTTTTCTCCCAACTAAACAGACTCAGCTCTCTCAGCCAATCCTCATAACTCTTGTTTTCTAGTCCCTTCACTAGATTCATTGCTCGTCCTTGCACAAGCTTGAGCAACTCAAAATGGTGGATGGGATGAATACCATGATTGGAACTCTCCAACTGAAGGCTACAGGCTCTTCAGAAGGGATAGACAGGGTAGGAAGGGAGGGGAAGTTGCCCTCTATGTTTGGAAGTGGATAGATTGTAAAGAGCTGTGTCTGAGCAACAGCCATGACTTAGGTTGAGAGCTTATAGGTGAAAATCAGGGATTGGCCCAATAAAGGGCATCTAGTGTTTGGAATCTGCTACAGGCCACCTGATCAGTGGGTGCCTGTTGACGAGGTCTTCTTGCTTCAACTGCAGAAGGTTGTTGTGCTCATGGGCTCTTGTCCTGATGGGGGATTTCAACCACCTGGATATCTGCTGGGATAGTGGCATGGTGGTGGCAGACAATCCAGGAGATTCCTGGAGTCTGCTGGGGATAAATTCCTGGTCCAGGTATTAGATGGACTAACCCGAGGTGAAGCCTTACTGGACCTGGTGCTCACCAATGTGGGGAAGAGCATTAGAGAGGTTAAGATTGGAGGCAGCCTGGGTTGTAGTGACTATGCCCTGATGGAGTTTGTGATCTGGAGGAATGCAGGCCTGGCAAAAAGTAGAGTCAGGACCCTGAACTTCAGGAGAGCAAAATTCCGACTGCTCAAGGAACTGCTGAGTGGGATCTTCTGGGAAACTGTCCTTAAGGGCATGGGTACAGAACAGAGCTGGCAGCTCTTTAAGGACACTTTTCTGAGAGCAAAACAGTTCTGCATACCCCAGCAGAAGAAACCGAGCAATGGAGGCAGATGACTGGCATGGCTGAGCAAGGATCTGTAGCTTAAACTGAGGGAAAAGAGGGAAATGTACAGGAAGTGGAAGCAGGATTGATAGCCTGGGAAGAATACAAGGACATTGTCCGCATGTGTTGAAATAAGATCAGGAAAGCCAAGGCACAGATAGAGCTGAACTTGGCAAGGGATGTGAAGGGCTTTCCTAACACACGCAACTCAAGAGTGTGAACTCCGCAATTACCTGGTGTAGCCTGGGAAGAATATATGGACATTATCTTGATGTGTAGAGATATAATCAGGAAAGGCAAGGCACAGATGGAGCTGAACTTGGCATGGGATGTGAAAGATAACAAGAAGGAATTCTACAGGTACATAGGCAGAAGGAGACAGATCAAAGAGGGTGTTCCCCCTCTGATAAATAAAGATGGAGAACTGACTTCCTCAGACATGGAAAAACCTGCAGAGCTCAGGTTTTTGCCTCAGTCTTCACAGGTGGTCAGGCTTCTCCCCATATCTGCCAGGACCCTGAAGCTCTAGGAGTGGGTGAAAGGAGTGGATTCCATTGCACTGTAACAATGGAATAAGTCTGAGACCTCCTCATGAAACTGAATGTATATAAGTTCATGGGGCCAGATGATATCCATCCTGGGGTTCTGAAAGAGATGGCTGATGTGGTTGCTGAGCCACTCTCCATCATATTTGAAAAATCAAGGTTGCTGGGTTAAGTTCTAGGTGATTGGAGAAAGGGAAACATTACTCCCATTTTAAGAAAGGAAGAAAGAAAAACCTGGGGAGCTACAGGTCAGTGAGCCTCACCTCTGTGCGTGGGAAGATTATGGAGCTGATCTGCCTAGAAGTTATGTTAAGGCACATACGAGATAAAGAGGTGATTTGAGACAGCCAACATGGCTTCACCAAGGGCTTGACCAATCTGGTGACCTTCTATGATGGACTGATAGAATCAGTGGACAGGGAACAGATGTCATCTACCTGGACTTCTGCAAAGCCTTTGACATGGTCCCTCACCACATCCTTCTTTCTAAATTGGAGAGGTATAGATTTGAAGGATGGACTGTTGGGAGGATTAAGAATTGATTGGCTGATTACAGACACAGGGTTGTGATTAATGGTGCTGTGCCAGGGTGGAGGCCAGTCACAGGCGATGTCCCTCAGGTGTTGGTCTTGTGACCAGTGCTCTTCAACATCTTTATTAGTGACACTGACAATGGCATTGAGTGCACCCTCAGCAAGTTTAAAGATGACACCAAGCTGAGTGTTATAGCCGATACATTGGAAGGAAGGCAAGGCATCCAGAGGGACCTGGACAGGCTGGAGAAGTGGGCCCGTGTGAACCTAATGAGGTTCAACAAGGTCAAGCGCAAGTTGGGCTTGGGTAATCCCAAGTATTTATACAGACTGGGCGAAGAATCCCTTGAGAGCAGCCCTGCATAGAAGGACTTGGACCTAGTGGACAAGAAGCTGAACGCAGCAGTGTGCGCTTGCAGTTTGGAAGCCAACTGTGTTCTGGTCTGCATTAAAAGAGGGGTGACCAGCAGGGAGAGGGAGGTGATTGTCCTCCTGTACTTGGCTCTTGTAAGGCCCCATCTGCAGTACTGTGTCCAGGTCTGGAGCCCCCAGCACAAGAAAGACACAGAGCTTTTGGAACGAGTCCAGAGGAGGACCACTGAGATGATCAGAGAATGGGAGCACCTCTCCTATGAAGAAAAGTTGAGGGAACTGAGCTTGTTTAGCTTGGAGAAGAGAAGGCTCTGGGAAGACCTCCTGGTGGCCTTCCAATACTTGAAGGGAGCATACAAATAGGAGGGAGATGCATTCAAGGCCAGGCTGGATGTGGCTCTGGGCAGCCTGTCTAGTGGTTGGTGACCCTTCCTGTGGCAGGGAGGTTGAAAGTAGATGATCTTAGAGTCCTTTTCAACCCAGGCCATTCTATGATTCTATGATTCTGTCAATATTCATCTCACAGTGAGGAGGCTAAACTGAGCACAGTACTTAAGGTAAGTTCTCACCAGTGCTGAGTACAGAGGGACAATCGCTTCCCTGGTCCTACTGGCCACACTATTTCTGATAAGGCCAGAATGCTATTGACCTTCTTGTCTGCCTGGGACACTGCCGGCTCATGTTCAGCTGGCTGTTGACCAGTACCCCCAGGTCTTTTTCTGCTGGGCAGTTTTCCAGTCATCCTTTAGCAGGTCTATGCCATGCAACGGGTTGTTATGACAAATGTGGGAGCTGGCATTTAGCTTTTTTGAATGTCATGTGACATCACTGTAGCCTAAAAAGATCTCCCTGCAGAGCGTTACTGCTCTCAGACAGATCAACACTCCCACCTAACCTGATGTCATCTGCAAAATTTGCACCCACTTTTTGGGTGAATAGTTTTTGTACCATGCCTCTGTTTTCATCCAATTCCTATAGTCACAACCTGGTATCTCCTATCTACCTTGGTGATTCATTTAATCATGTTTCTTTTGTTTACCTTATCCAGGGAAGATTTCACAGGAACAAAGCCGGAGAGCATCTTCACATCAATAATGACCATGTTGGAGCTAGAGCGCTTCCCTGTGTAACTGAAACAACAGACATCCCAGTCAGCCTGGTTTGTATCAGGGGAAGGAAATTCTCTTGGCTATTAGTCTCATAGAACACAGAAAGAATGGGGTGAATCATATGCACTTGCTGACTGGCTCGAATGGGAGACGCTGTGGAAAGGGAGACGCTGTGGGAAGGACTCTGGCATGAGGGGGCAAAGTACATGCTAGCAATTTATGTATTAATAGTGTAAGTATCACAAGGTCTTTTGGGAAATATGTCATATTAGTTGATACCATCAACACTGTCCAGGATAGATCAGCTCATGGTTCATGACTTTAAACAAAACTGAATACACACATTACTCTACTTGGCACGTCAGCTGTGCAGCTGGTTTGTTGATGGCACATTACCTGCTTTTGAGTACAATATCAAATTTTCCTGGTTGGTCTTGGGGGCAGGAAGCATTTGATGTCTGTACTGAGAGAGAAAATCCAAATGCCCCCTCTGGAAGGTGTATGTTGTATCTCAGTGCTGTCTGGAAGAGGAAAAAAAAGAACTTTTTTAAACATGCCAAGGATTTTTCTTTGAATTCTAAAATAGAACATCAGACTGAGTGAAGTTTCCAGGGCATGTGAATGATTCTTGATTATGTTGAAGACTGACACATCAGTCCTGCATTTTGTCCATAAAGGTGCACCACACATTAGAAAATCATTTTATCATTTTTGATCACACATTAGAAATCCCTTACTATTAGAAAAACTTTTTTTGCTATGTTATGATTTCATAGGAGTCAGAATATGAAACAGAGAAAAGATTGTTTAAAGAGTTTAGGAAAATCAAATAATTAGGAAAAAGAAAGAGAAATCAGATGGAAAGTCATCAGAAACACAGCTGCATTGCATGCAGATTGTAGGATACAGTAAAGAAGAGAGAAGACACTTACCTGTGTAAGTACACATCCAGTGCCATTCACTATTAAGTTGTATTTCCCAGGGACTTCAGGGAGGGGAGTCTGTTGCAGGAGGAGCCTGTTCTCATTATTAACAGTGAATACTTTCTCGAAAGTGTTCTTGGAAGTGATCTTGATGGCATTTTGTGTAAAAGAATTATAGGTGGCCTCACCATAAGCAGCAAGGGCTTGAAGAGCAACAACCGTGTCCTGAAAAAAAAAAAAAAAAAAAAAAAAGACAGTTAGCTACACTGTGATTACGTGGAGGAAATCAATATTATGATTCTAATACAAAACAAAGCCACTTTGACCTGGTTAAAAAAACCCTGAACTTGTATATGATTCCAAGTTTCCCACATAGAAGGAGGCATTTCCTTCTGATGTGCATATTTTAGTGTGAAGGAAATATCTCTACTAATTATAAAGGTTTCAGAGTACAAAATATGAGCACTAGAGCACATCTCAATAAGATATTTCAAGTGAAAATACATGGGTTTCCTAGGGACTGCAGAGAATCTCTTGGTCATATAGCAATTAAGACCTGGTAATAAGAGGGTTTTTTAGGTTTACTGCTAACATGAATATCTGGATTTCTTACTAGTCCAATTACTCCTTTATGTATTTAACTTAGGTATAGTTAAGAAGGGAAAATAAAATAATAATAATAATAATAAAGGTTTTAGGACTCACTAAGAAAAAGACTTGGTCTCTATATACATGAAAGCAAGATACAAGAGATACAAGATACAAAAGTAAAACTAGTCATAGCCTCACTGACAAGAGTGTCCCAGTTCCTAAGACCAACTGGGGGATGGGAGTTTATGCACCTGTGTGGAAGAGAAACCTCCGTAGGGATTCTGTTGCCTGATAATCCACTGCACAATTGCTGAGGCCTTTGTGAGATCCTCTTGATTGCAATTTGGTTTGTAGAGCAATGCCAACAGCACGTAGCTGGTGATCTCAACCTCAGTTGATGGAACATGATCTAAGAGGTGGGATTTTTCAGGTGGGGATCTCTGCTTCTGCTCCCAGTACTTTGAACCATCTGAATAAACAAAGAGGGTGAAAAGCAATGAGAACGGAATATTGTCAAGGTGCATGCCACCAGTAAAATGTATTCCATCTGCCCACCTCCCCAAATCCTGATGTGGCTGAAACTCACCAACTTCCTTTGCTGATTTCTGTAGTTCTCTAAGGAACGATTCACATATTTCTGCCTTGCCAGCTAAGCAGAAGGCATAGGTCACAAGCGCCTGAGTATAAATGTCACTGACATTTTTCTCAGATGCAGTCTCCAGGCAATAAAAGGCATTTCGGATTACTGTGTACTTCAAAAACACACAAGCAAATAAATAAAAACAACAACCAAAACAACATGTGTCTCAATTCTGAATAGTTGTCCTCACTAGATCTAAAGTGTCTTTAAACCTCTTGTTCATCCTGTCATCACCATGGCAATAAAACTTAAGTTTGTATAATAACCTTGGGAGAGAGAATACATGACTCTTTAAGGAAGGATTTCAGACTGAAATTCCATACAATTAGAGCAGATTTTCAGTGTGTTCCTGAAGATGTAGGTGGATAAACAGAAGACTTCTCTGCTTCTTTCACATCTAATTCCTTCTGCTTACCTCTATGGTAACAATTCACACTGTACTTTTGTAATTAAGAGTCTGTTGACTTGAACAATTCTAAAATTTTCAGAATAGTCTCTATCCTCAGTGACTCTACTGAAATTTTAATTCAGTTCTGTGGAGTTGTACTACATAGGTTGTGTTGAAAATAATGCCTCCGATTTATTTTCATTGAAACTACAACAGCCACAATAACATTATTTGACGAAGCAAGTTCTCAGCTACAAAACGCTAATTTTCTACATAGTCACCACTGTTAGCTATGACTTTTGCCAGTGATGAACAAGAGCCTGCATACCATACTCATAAAAATTTGTACTAGCTGAGATGACCCACTGCTGCTGTTACCACTGCTGAAAACACAACCCATTGCCTCACTGAGCTCACATCCACTCTTTGGTCTTCATAAATGTTCAGTGAGCATTGATGGATGTCAATGGGTGCAATTTTTTCTGCATGGAGGAATTCAGTAGCACACCTTTGCTTCACACACACTTCCATGTCAGATCTCATTTCATCAGACTGCCCATCTGCTTCCATATGTTGCATAGCAATAAAATTTGATGGAATATTAGCAGGGATGTTCAAATTCTATCACTGTACCACCAACATCCACCTCTGGCTTCATGAACCAGCATAATAAAATAGGAGGCATTACTTCTGGAGCAGTTCTCATTGGTTTACATTAAGTGAAAGAAGTTTACTGTTAGACTCCATGTCTTCATTAATGTTCTTCTTAATCAGGAAGTTTCTCAAAAAGTACACGACAAACTAGAGGCAGAGAAACTGATATACTGAAGTCTAACATCTCAGCTGTGCTCTCCTTTGTACTGAAAGTCACTTTCAAAGAAGGATAAATCTGCTTTCCACTATGGTGGATCTTCCTTTTCCCAGTATGGCTTTTAGTTCCATTTAGATTTTACAGATTTATCTGTAATGCTTTATTTTCTTGACTAAGTCGTATTTGAGGCTAAGCCATAGTGTGTGTGCTACTCCCTAGGAAGATTTTTTAAGTGAAGGTGAACAGTGTCATTGAAAGCAGGGTAATGTTAACTGAGAACTTTCTCTCTCCATCTCTTTGTCTTTCTCTAGGACTATTTGTAGCAGGTACAGAATACAAAGTAACAACTGGGAACTAATTCCAGATGAATAGCAGTAGTGAAAGGCGGCTTTACCGACACAGAATGCCCAGCCTCCAGTAAGGCAATGGTGATATAGGCAGAAAGCGACAGCTCATTATCTACTCCTCCCTGAAAAGGATATGGAGAGAGGAATTACCAGTGAATAGCATGAATGAAAAGCTTTCAAATATGAGTTGCCATATCCCAGCTGAAGAATGTGGCTGTTTCTGCACGCAACCCAAAAATAAAGGAAAATACACACATAGCAGAGATAGCTCATAAGTTAAGAAAAGCCCATTACTATTTAAACATATATATATATTAAAAAAAAAAAAAAAATCCTCATCGACAACAGCCAACGAACTACCATCAGCAGCAATAAAAAATCCTCAGAAAACACAAATTCCCTTAAGGAATCATCTCCTCTAATCCTGTCCTGTAATCCTCTCGCAGGTGCAAGATATGTAAAAGAGAGTGAGGAAGCTGACTGGTCTGGAAATAGTTACTGTAAGATGTGGAGAAGTATCCCTAGGCAGAGAAGAGTATAGCATTTAGAGGAAAGTATAGGTTTTGGTAGTAATGAGAGAGGATCTTAATGATAAGAGCATAAATTTAACAAAAGTAATTCTTTATCACCTTCAAGGCATCGTTGACAAGTATCCCAGCACTTTGGAAGCAGCCATCTGTCTTCTGTTTTCTTGCCAGCCACATCAGGGTTTGAACCTGGACATTGTCATCAATAAATATGAAGCGACTAGCTTCTGCAAATGATTTGTACACAAAGGCAGTGAGCCTGCAAGGGAACCATGAAGCTGTGAGCTGATCTAGAAAAAGTCAGCCTTTTCACTCATGCTAGACACAAGTCTGAATAATTACAGCCAACAAGTTGGTGACTTGCTTTCTTGTGTACTTCTCGAAGGAAGGGTACCAAAAAGAATTGTATCTAGCTAGAATCCATGGAGGAACACTAGCACACTGTGTGGCTGATCCTGGATGCAAAGCACTGCAGCGCATTGGGTTCCATAGGAGAAATGAGGTGCAGGAATCAAGTTTTTAGTCTACCTACTATCAGTATGCACTCTGACAGGAGCTGGAAAGCCATTTCACTTAGTACTTAGAGTTTCACTCCTAGCGAGCTCTGTACACCTGATTCAGCTAGCAAAGGTGTCTTTTATCTACACCATGTGATTTCAATGCAAATTCATTTCTAAGCCATTTCTGCTCCCAGTCACTCACCAGGTGTTCCCTTCTTTATCTCTAATGCCAAATGTGCTGTAGGACCCATCAGGATGTTTGTATGATAGCTGCTTCTGGTAGCCTGAAAGAATGTGAAAGAGAAAATGTTATCTAATTAAAAAACAAAACAAGAAAACAAACAAACAAAAAAACCTTCTAATTCTATTTTCCATCGGATTTACATGGAATCACAATGGGAAAACATGAAACGGTGAAATTTGTCTGCCATACAGTGGGGAAGCTTTGAAGAAGCTTAAGTCTACACAATGTCCTGTCCTGTAGGAACACTGAGTCACAGAATAGGTAGCGCATGTCAGCTCTGTGCTCTACCTAAACTGACAGGATTAAGGCAGATGCTGTGCTTGTGTGGAAGAGGAGGAAGGGACTTAAAGATGGAACCTCGAAGGAAACATGATGACCAAGTTTAGGTAGAGCAGGAGAAGGAAAGAAAAAAAAAAGCAAGGCAGTGGATCTCTGAGCTGTGCTACAACATCAGTGCCATACTGCTTGAATAGCCATGCTACTGCTTCTGCTCACTAGGCCCCAATAGTAATTCAGCACACATTGTAAAAAGATGCACAAAGCTCTCACCACTCACTAAGTATCCAACGGTCTTGGATTTTACATTTTCACTCAGCTGTCTTGTCTTGTCCAGATAATCCAGTACATAGATATTTGGTGCAAAAAGGACCATGTTCTGTTCCCCACTGCCAAATGGTATGAGAAGGAGCTGGTGCATGTTCTGCATGGCAGTGCCCATGATGTCACCTGGTGAAGAAAACATGACAGGGGAATTAGCACAACTCATGGCCACAGAAACATACAGCAATTTTCACTCAGTAGGGTGAGCCATGGAATACCTGGCTGGGTTAGAGAACCTCTGTTAGAAAGCCTGAAGTTCTCTGTACTTTCTGAGTGATTTGTTCTGTTCTGCTTGTCAAGCCAACAAATAAATTAAATTCCTGCCCTGTCTTTTCTTGCTTAGATTAAATTGCCCATTCCAGAAATACTACCTATTTTAGTGCCACTTTAAGCAGACACTTGATGTCTATTAAAATAATAAAACCAAAGCCACTACAAGACCAAAAAGTTTCCATTAGCATCTCTAGTTTGTACACGGGTGAGTGGAAGAAAATCTTATGGGCATGAGTCTGGTAGCACACTCAGAACTGTGCTACCTGTGGGCAAAACATTCAAATGCAGTAAGTTTAAACAGAAATGTGAATAGGGATGTCACTGATTTTTAGATGCAGCAGAGAACATTGCTGGGCAAGATAAGAATCAATCTATTTGCTCAAGATTTCCCACAGGAAGAAAGAAAAGTCACAACAAAGCTTTCATTTCATTGTTTAAAGTTTTCTTAATGTTTCATTAATTTCATGTTTACCAACAACAGAAAAGAAAGCTCTGGGTGATCCTTCTACCACATTTGTAGGTAGATCTATTACAACATCTTGAGTAATGACATCATCTGTAGAGAAAAATATTAAGTATATTGTGGATATTTGTATAGAACATTTGTTACAGCAGGTAACAAACACTCCCCTCCCTTTCCCCTTCCCTTTCCCCTTCCCCTTCCCCTTCCCTTTCCCCTTCCCCTTCCCCTTCCCCTCTCCCTTTTCCCTTCCCCTTCCCCTTCCCCTCTCCCTCTCCCTTCCCAAGTATATTGAGCGTTTACCTTTCATGCAGATCAAGGAGTTCTGGGTCTCTTCCCTTCTTATGCCTTCAGGCTGGAATGGTGATGGGAAGAAGAGTCATATGCAGCAGATGAGAACAAAGCATAGAGAAACAAAGCAGTGACAAGAGTATTCATCGTCAGCCTCATCCTCCTCCATCATAACATGGCTGTACAGAAGCAGCTAGTACAAAAGGTGAGTTCCAATCAGATAAAGTCCCTCGTTTCCAGCTTCTCCTCTGTATGAGGAAGATGTGCACTTTACCAACACCCAGTGATCCTCATGGAAGAGGACATCAGATGGGTGTGGACTTAAAATTAGATTGAACAGCCCAACCCTGTCCCATTCAGATGAGTGTGGAGCCAAACAGGAAGTTTGTTAAGGAACCAGAATAACTTTTGCTTCCTTTTTGTACTTTTGTTGCAATTTCCTTTTCTCATGGTAGGAAGTACAGGGCAAACAAGAAGTGCTGTCAGCAGTACCTCAATCAACAATGTCCTGATCTGGGTGTCCCTGTAGTCAATACTGATGTTCCTAAGTGCTTCTTCTTCACAAGCTTCATCGTTATTGGTCTCAGCCGTAATGCTGAATAATACTTCGCCTTAAATAGTAGCAGAAAAGAGGGAAAATTGACCTCTGTCAAGAAGATTTATGGTTAAAGTGAGAAATTGCATCTGATAATGATTATCTGTAGAATAGTAGAGTAAGTAGTGTAGCACAATGAATGATCAATCACTCTAGGTGAGACATATGGGAAGAGAACTGATCTCTAAAAATTGAAATGATAAATACCCTGCATTTCTGGAGGGGCTTTTTGGCCTGGACAGCTGGAATAGGGGTAGACAAAATTATCCAGGTTGGAAAAGAATTAGGTTTACAGATGAGGTATAAACTGATTAGTAACAGTCCTACGAAACCAGATAGATTCCAAGCCACTTACCAATTCCTTTGGGGGAAATATTCCAGACATAGGACTTTCTTTTTTTGGTACATACACATCCATCATCCTTTGGGGAGATGAGTTTTGCATGATAATCAAGGGATTCTGACAGCAAAACATTAATCTGAGAACAGAGAGAGGAATATGGTGTGATAAAGATTTTATACCATAGAAAAATGGTGCTTTATTGTTTGAGAGTGGGTGGATCAACTGTACTTATGTCAAGTATTAACAGTGTAAAGCAGATTGAAAGCCTGGGATAATGGCATACAGGTGAATCATCTATCAGATGCAACTTTGGCAGTGTCCTCTTCTGCTCCTCTTGACATTCTTCACTGAGATATTAAATACCCTATACATATATCTGTTTCTGGATCAGGATGTGGAACTACGTCCAGTTGACCTGGTGCTGACTAACTTGCAAAGGAAGATATCATTTAATGTTTGGTTATGTTTTTGTTGCTGTTGAAGAACAAGGTGAAGAGATGAAAGCCTCAATAATTGATAAATTTTTTTAATAGGCTGTTTAAAGCCCTAGGCTTTTTTTTTTTTTTTTTTTTTTTTTCTTCCCTAGTCAAACTATTAACAGAGTTCGAAACAAAAAAATGACTAAGATGTGTCTTGATTTTTCATCCTTTTTTGACAGTCTCCTTTTGAGACCAGAGAGCTGATTTTCAGCAGATAAATTAAGCAAAAGAAGTCTAGAATTTGTGCTTGCCTCTCGTTTTAGGATTCAGCATAACAAACAAGAAATCAAAGAGAAGATCTCTGCTTTTCTTTCTTCAAGTGTATGTAAGCTCCTTCAGTGTAGAGATACATTGCGCCTGTGGTCTGGAGACATTTTGCCTGGAAAGTACAGAGCACTGAGAGCACAGACAACCACTGTCTGAGACCAGTATTCTCCAGCTGCACATACACTCTTTTGGGTGAAGTACTGGGACTCTGATACTCCCTGCTTTAGAGAACCTTTGTCCCAGGGAACAAAGTTTTTTCTGTTCTTCACTTGTTGCTCTTCCTATACGCTTCTATTTGGGAGGTACAAGCACTTCATTCCTTCACAACACCACATATCCTTAAAAAAGGACCCCAATAAAATGTGATGGCTTACACAACATTGAAAAGTGAATGATACTCCACAAAGCACTGTTCCCTTTCTTCTTAGGTCTCAGAAGACAGGTATTTGTACAAACATCCTAGACATAGTTCACATAGATCTCCTCCGGTTTTGTAGTGGTGTAGGACAAATTCAGTCTATCATTAGATAGAAGGAGCAGTGCCTCAATCAAGCAGAGGCAGATCCAGTCATTTGCATCCATCATTTTGATACTTTTTTTTGTTTGATTGTTTGTCTGTCTGTTTGCTTGTTTTTCCAAATTACAAAGCCTGCAGAATGCTTGGAGGTGGGATAGGGATTAAAAGCGTGGGCAGATGTACGTACCTTAATACAGTGATTGAGGTAGTTAAAGACATTGGCTCTAAGCAGGAAATCTTCTCCATGAATGATGGAGTATGGCAAGGTGAAGTCCACAAAGAAAGGCTGGAAGGCTGTCAGGGTAGCAGGCACAGATATACCAAATCCAGCCAATTCTTCCACACAGAAGGCACTGGCCTTCCATTCAGTGACAGTGTCAGGGATGGTGTATGAGACACTAGCTTTTCCAGTAGAGCTGGTGGGAATGTACAAAGAATGGGTTTGGACAGATGAATTTTCATATAACTTACTTTTCTGTAGAAACTCTAAGTTTTCAGGATGAATGCTATCACTGTTCTGTTTGTAGAAATCCCACATCCAAGCCCTCACAGAACTTACCATCCAAGTCTTCTCAGAGAAGTCAGTGTGGAAGTTCTTCTGCCCATCATTTCCCTGACTTTGGAAAGAAAACTCAGATTCCTTGCTTTGCAGACCAATGTTTTGAGAAACAGAGGTTTCTCTTCATAGGGAGTATGACTCACAGTATACATATTGTGGAAATAAATGTTTTGGTTAATATTGTAGGGAGGGCGGATGGTCAGAAGAAGACTGAAAAACATGGTTCTTCCATGTCAAATAGTAAGAAGAGGTGGCAAGAAGTTACAATAATGCAGGAGAATATATGGACATTTAGTAACTTTTAAAGTACAGCAAAGAGAGAGAAGCAGCAGTACTCACTTTATTAGGACAATATCCCAAATCCAAGTTTCAGGGAAGAATTCCCTAACAGTGTCAAGGATGTATCTCTTCACATGTTCTTCTCTAGCTACTTCAGCTGTTAAGAGATAGTGGGAATTTAGTTAGTCCTCATTCATGTAGTAAAGACTCCCAGAAAGGACAAGCTTTGATTTGCATGAACAAGTACAAACAATAATTAGTGTTCACTCACTTTCTACTGGAAACTAGCGGTATTTCCATCCAAGTATTAATTAAAGTCACTAATGTGTTCATGAATTTGGTATAACCTTACATTACTAAGAAAAGAAAGCATTTATTGAACTGCTCCTGGTCTCCAAACATGAGCATAAGACCTAGGATTCAGAACACTTGGCTCTCAAATCTGTGTGATGGCCACAATGATGCACTGTCTCTTCAGTAACCTCTGGAAAGAAAGGAATCACTGTCAACAGTGTCCCTTTTGTTTGACACTCTCCCAGTTGCCAATGCTTCCCAGTATTAAACTGGATATGAATCAGAAGTGTAGGCCTGAAAGGGTTTTTTGGGTACTTGTTATAGTAAGCCATCTCATTCTGAGCCATAGTATTCAAAAGAACAGTTCTGAATGCTGAACACTGACAAAGGAGAGTTGTGAGGACTGTCCACGTCTGTTCAAAAAAAAAATCCTATTTTTTTAAGAGAAAAATAAAATCGCTTACCTATCCCCTATACTACCTGATAATTTGACGTGGTGCGTAGAAGCTGTGAATCCTGCATTCAAGAAATGGAGGTCTTCCTGTTCCACTAGTACACACAACTGGTTGACGAATCTTTGAGTTGGTAAAAAATTTCATGCCCATATCCTGTGAAAAATACATTTTGGTGTCAGCCATAACCATATTGCAGCTGAGGTTTATTTTATTCCTCCCTCTTCCCATTACTACCTTTCCACCACATAAAAGCCCAAAGACGTATATGCAGACTTTTGGGAGTTCTGGGCACAATGGAAAATCACAGAGTCAGAATCAGAATCAATTGAGAATGGATGTCAATTCAGAGAATTTTCCTCGTATGAGTTCTGCTAAGAGCATTGCAAAAATTGTAAAGCTACTACATAAGTAGAATCATAGAATCGTAGAATTGCCAAGGTTGGAAAAGACCCTAAAGATCATCACATTCAACGGAAAGTAGAAACTGACTTCAACAGATTTAAATCATGTGTAGGATATTTACCCTGAGGAACTGATATACATCTGGGCCTAATCCAGAAGTTAGAGGTCTGTAATACAAGCCTTTGTGAAAGATGTTATCAGGTGAGATGCAGGGGTCTTGCGGATCATCTTCTAGATTGAATCCATTGAATATATAGCCTTGTAGGTCTTGAATAGGATGCAAGTTGTATATCTGTGAGGGAAGGAAACACAAAGATTGATTTTGATTATATAGTCATGTGCTGGCAATTACCAGCGCTGAGATGCTTGCCTGTTTGAAATCATGCTCTGTTACTTGAACTGAAAACTCTTCAACAGCCAGGCCCAGAAGGTAGTGATCACTGGTGAGAACAAAGAACAGTAACTAATGTGTACCCCAGAGGTCAGTACTGGATCCAGCCCTGTTTAATATCTTCATTAATAATCTGATGATGGGAGTGTGCCCTCCACTAGTTTGATGCCATCCAGAGGAATATCTGCAGGCCAGAGAAACAGCGCTACAGGAGAGTAATGAACCTGAAAAAAGAAGTGCGAAGTCCTGTCCCTGGGGAAGAATAATTCCAAGCATCAATATATGTGTGGGGTCAATCAGCTGGAAAGCAGCTTTTCAGAGAAGGATCTGGAGTCCTGATAGACAAGAGTCAACAAATGCGCAAATTCCCATTGTTTCCTGGGCAACATTAGGAGGATAGTATCCAGCAGGTTGAGGGAGGTGATTCTTTCCCTCCACTCAGCACTGGAGAGGCCACACCTAGTATGCTGGAACTAAATGTGGGCTCCTCAGTACAAGAGAGATAGAAGAGCTGCTGGAGAGACTGCAAGAAACTATCACAAAGATGAGCATTTCACAGCTAGGACTGTTTAGTCTAGAGAAGAATAGACTCAGAGATATCACATTAATGTAAATAATTACCTGAAATGAGGGTGCAATGAGGACAGAGACAGGATCTTTTTAGCAGTGCCTATTGCTATGACAAGAAGCAATGGGCACAAACTGAAATACAAGTTGTTCCCTCTCTACATCAGGAAATAATTTTGAAGTGTGCTGGTGATGGAGCACTGGGACAGGTTGCCCAGAGAAGCTGTGGAGTTCTCTTCTTGGAAACATTCGAAAGTCATCTGTACGTGGTCCTAGGCAACCAGCTGTAGGTGATCCTGTTTGAGAAATGTGTTGGACTGGATAAACTTCACAGAGGCCCCTTCCAAATGTGGGTATTCTATGTGAGGTTCTGTGATTCTTACAGAGCATAAGGATCATGGGACTGCTACCTGCAAAGTAAGCTGAGGCTTCCACCTTCAATTTGGAATTTTACTCTTTCTCAAGCCTTTTCTTGTCCTGCATCTTTCAGAGGGTACAGTACCCAGGATAAAGCTGTCTCTGTGTGGCGTGCTTATTGACTTGTGATCATTTCCTGAAGCTTCCCAAATGACTATGCAAGTCCAAGAGTCACTGCTTAAATCAAATCCTAGGTCCTTTACAGGACATCTGACTGCTAAGAAATGAAGTCTGCGTATTATGTACATATTATTATGACCAGCGCATGTAAATACTGGGGGATGTCCAATACATGCTAACAATCTCTAGTGAAGAAACTGTAATAGAGAATAAAACAATATTGCAAGGAAGGAGAAAATGTACTTGTTTGGGTAACTTACTGTTTCTGCAGACAACTCTGTCTCAGTCTTCAGAAGCAGCACGCTTTTATCCACTGCCCTCACAGCACAGAAAGAATTAGCAGCAGCTTCGATCTCTAAACTGACATTGGAAGTGGTGAGCATCTGCTTTTCAGAGAATTGCAACTGGACCTGAAATTTATCAAACACATGTTGGTGTGGCTAATCCTTACTGCTTAAGGCTTCTCTGGATGTTGAGAAGAATAATGTAAGGTTCTTCTATTGAAGCACCGTGGGTCTTACTAGAGGGTGTTGGCCTCTACTGCCTCTGTTAACCAAGCCTCAGCTATAATGGAGGCTTAGGCAATAAGCACACTTAGATTCCTACGTTGTGGTAACTTAAATGAGGCCTACCTGAAGTTATTTAAAATAAAATGTGATTCTGCTGCTGCTTATGTCAAACAAAATCTTATTATAACGCTTGACTGCATGTGATAAGAACTACAATGAGCAAATCATATTTTTACTACAAGTTTGTACTACCTTAAAAATTACAGTGCAAATAATCTTGTTTTGATTTTTTTCAAAGCAAAAAAAAGAACTTGATACTTGTTTTAGATAAGAGGGAAAAAGTAGTAGTTGGAGATGACGAGATAAATGAAAACTTCTGCTTAGACCCACTTGTTTTATCTTCTTGATCGTTTGTTTCATGTTTGAATATCTTTTAGCTTTCAAGAACAAAAGATAAGAAAAAACTTAAAATTGAAATCTCAATTCAAAATTACAAATCAGAGTCCAGGTTTTTCTAAAAGGAGGGAAAAAAACATAAAACAAAAAACAAACAAAAAAAACCTTTTTCTCCTGTATGTATGAGGGCTGCCCTGAAAGTAATGTCTCTTATTTTATTATGTTGACTCACAACCTCAGAAGCAGATGTAGGTGGTATGGCAGTAGAGGCTGAATGTTCCCACCAGTCTTTTGTTACATTTTGTTGCCATGTGACAGATGGCAGTGGAGTGGATGTCCAACAAAGTGACATTTGATGCGCAAGTGCATATGAAGCAATTGTGAATCACTGAATTCCTCCAGGTGAAATAATTGCACCCACTGACATTCATCAATACTTACTTGAATGTTTATGGAGACTGAAGATTGGTTGTTAGTAAAGTGAAGCAGTGGGTGGTGCATTTCAGCAGTAGCTGAAATGACATGAAAGACAAACCATGTTCCAGATGACCGTGCATATTTTAATGAGTGTGGCATGCAGGATTTTGTTCTTTGCTGGTGAAAATGCATAACTAGTGGTGGTGACTATATTTTGTAGCTGAGAATATTATTGTTATGTCAGACCATGTTATTGTGCTCTTTGAATCTGTTGTAGTTTCCATAGAAATAAATAGGAGATATTACTTTTGGAGCAACCTGTGTATTTAATTGTGGTAAGCATAAACTGCATTTTTATTCATCAGAAAAAGTGTAAAAAATTAGATTACACTGTAAAGTGGAGTAAGACTAAAACACATTTTTATGGTTAAAAAACAGGCACTCCAAACTATATAGGACACTAGTATAGTTTTAGAGAAGCTGGTAGAATTTGAGAGTAGTGTGTTTTCAGAAAAGTAGATTTTAATTTTAGAGGATTTACCTTTTGGCAATGAGGATAGGTGGAAGTAAAGAAAAGATACAAGGCCAAAGAGAAAAAAAGAAGAATGAAGAAGAAATAAATGTGTGCACAAAGGATTTGTATTTATTTGGCAACAGCCAAATTCTTAGCACTTCTCACCTTGTTTTTGAAGCACTTCTCGATTGGAAGTCGGACACTGTCTGCTACCAGCTCCTTGGCAGGGTGTAACGTATATACAAGCAACCGAAGGGCTGGAGACATTTTCTCACTGACCACAAGTGGGATCATGAAAGTGCCATTTCGATCTGTTATTTGAGAAGAAGAGACTAATACGGAGACAAACATGAAGGTCTGCTCTTGTAGCTACCATATAGACAGACATGCATCTGTACCAGTCCATGGAACAATCTGCAGTTGGACTATAAACTGAAAAATCCTGGAGTAACGGACACTGGCCAGGAGGTGACATGTCACAGTTTAGATCCAGATGCCTTCAGATTTACTGTGAGTTTGAACATGTGGCCAGACAGCCCCCAAGACCAGACACTGCATTCCCTCCCTAATCCTTTGGGAAGATCTTTACATGACACTGCATCTTGACTCACCTGACACTGGTTTCTGAACTACACCTGAGTTTATTTTGCTCTTAGTGGTAGTGATAGAATCATGCACACATGCATTGGTGAAAAGGGATACAGCCATTCCATAGCTGCTGTGCACATCCAAGAAATGTTGTCTTGGTCCCCAGTCCTCCAGTTTACCCATTTATTTCTTAAATGCAGAAACATGATGATGACAACTTAACTTACCAGCCTGGATATTAACTTTTATTTCCCCTGTGAGGACAATCTTGCCTTTTGCCATGCCCTGTAAAGAAAATAGCAATACATTTATGGATTATTAAAGGTTGGAAGAAGAAAGTGACAATCAAATTCAACATGCATCAACATGACAATTGATACACGCACATTGGCATGGCTTCAAATGTTTAAATATCAGCCACAAGGCATGCTAGATGCTGCCACTGCTGCTGCCACTGGCCAGAAAGCAGAAGAAAAAATGATGGAAGGGACTAGGGCAAGGAAAAAGAGTTTATTGGACAGGAGGGAAATGAACCATGGCCTAAGACAGTATAAAAATGGTTAAAGGTGGCTACTTGCTATAAAATTAAGTAACCTGGCCAGATATCTGGATTATTTTGCCCGATTAAGTAGTTTTTCTAAGTCAGCTTGGTACTGTTTCTGATCTTAGGTTACTGGTCATTGAAGTGGCTTCCAGAAACCAAAAGAGCTCACTACCATAACTGCTGTACGTGCACTGCCAGATAAATTCCTGGTAAAGCCCTTTCAGTGGAACTGCAATAAACCTATACTCACCACATAGTAGAAGTTCACCATACTGGTATTCTCATATCCTTCTGTGTTCAAGATATAGTACACAGTGATCATCCTCTTCTGCCCACAGCTCATGTCTTTCCACAGTGGATCAATCCTCACAAAACTGCTAGTCCAGGAGTACAAGCGCTGGACAGAGAGAGATGCATCTGGGTAGGAAGGCTCTATCCAGCCTTCAGAATGGCACTGGTCACTGGTTTTGTATATTGCCTGATTAGGAGAGGTAGAAGGGAAGAAAAGGAAAACAAACATAGCTCACTAGGGAAATTGTTGTCACGTACATCAGAAAGATTATTTCACAGAATCCACAAATTTAAGAATCACATGTAAACCCAAACAGGTAAGGAAGAAGTAGCGCAATGATCTTGCAGCCTTGCAGCAAGACATTGCATTGCAACAACTCAGGTACTTTCCTCACTTCTTTTATGGCTTTTTTTTTTTTTTTTTGAGAACTCTAGAACATGAAGTGAGACAAATCACATTTTATTACCAGAATTCAAACCTCATCCTATCTTTTGGAGTTCAGTTTAAGATCAGTTTTCTCTGTCTCCATTTCCATCTCCCTCTCCCTCTCTGCCATCCTATCCCTCTCCTTCCCTCCCCTCCCATCTCGTTCTGTACTCACTTTCAGACTAAGCTCAGGATCAAACATTTTGGATGTGTCAATGCTAAACGAAGCAAAACCATTAACATCAGTGGTGAAGTTGTTTGTATTCTTGTTATTAACAAATAGCTGGATAACTTTATTGGAAATAGGAGAGTTGTCTTTGTCTACCAGCTTGATCTATAGGAGAAGAAAATGACAAATATGTTTATATTGTTATATATCTGTGAATAGATATGCATAACTTACAGCCATTCTTTCTCCACCGAACAGAATAGCTTTTTCTCCTCCCTTCCAATTAATACTTTAGAAAAATGTTTATCTTCACTGTCTGGCTGCTAGGCTGCTACCTAATGCATGCAAAAGGAGCTTCTTCAGCAGCTGTTGCATCACTGAATGAGAAGCAAGAATTTCTTAAGTCTCATCTCTTTAAACATCACTCCTTCCTGACTATACATTTCCAGTTTAAATATACAATTACTTTTCTCTGTTTTTTCCTTTCTTAGTCTCTGATGCTGTTACTTTCCAAGTCTGAAGACTTTTTCTTCATATCTTTGATTTGAACATTTTTCTCATTTTTTCTCCACTATCTGTTCTATTTATTAAACAAAGAAATTATTAAACATATTAAACAAAGTATTAAACAAAGAAATAAGAGATGTCAGAAACAATTCAATAAACTTTAGGTTGCTTGAAATGAGCATTCATTTGTATTAAAAGCAAACAAGCAACAACAACAACAAAAAAGAGCAGAAGGAGTAACGATATATTAAATACACTGACTACCCTTACTGTCCAGATATGGAGCGAAGAGAAATTACCTCTGAAGTATACATGCAAATAGCGAACTAAAAGTCATTTAGATAAACGTTGACTTCAGTGAACTGAATGCAACAAAAGTGAAGGCATATAACATAGAAAAAAAGATATTTCATAGTGCTGGGGGAGAATTGCAAATAGGATGAGATGAAACAAGTACAGGATCAGGAAGGGATGCATTTTGAGAAAGTTTTTTTATGGCAGCTGCATTGATCTTAAGTTCTACATTTTTTGTTTCTTTTTTTTTTTTTTCTTCCACAGAAGCAAAGAAAATGCCAAATGATTGTAATTGAAAAGAATTTTGTCTCTGAGATGGAGACATCCCAGCCTCCTACCATATGTCTTTCTACATTCAGCATTTAGCATGTGGGGAAATGTGTGTATTTCATGAATTGATTGTGGCACACTGCACCAGGGAGCGTGTTGAGCCACTCTCCTCTGGTAAGTAATTGTAAGGGAGATGCACAGCACTCTGAAGAATGGGGTGGGAGTGGAGAACAAATGAGAAAGTCATATGAACATCTACCAGAGGAGAAAAATTCCTTAAAGAACAATCACTTCCTTCCTTTCAGTGCCACTGATAAAATGACCCCTAAGCCTTTCCTCATTGAAAATAAAAAATCTGAACTGGATGTAAGTGGAAGAAAGATAGATTTATATCTACCCTTTCAATCACTGAGAGTGATGTGGGATTTGTCATTAAACATAAAATAATGAAAAGGCTTTTAGAAGGAGAAACTGTTGTTAATTCCTTTCTTTTTTTTCTTAAGTAAAATTTCTCCATTTTTATTTGTCGCTTCTGAAGAGAGAAGCAGTGATTTACATCAAGTTGAAAATACAAGCTAGAAATATGCTGATTAATGGATCGTTTTGATCCAAAGTATTTCTGGCAGACACAAACCCGGACAATCTTATACTCATCTGTATTCAGAAGTACTGATAGGGCATTGTATATGTAAAGAAAGAAGCCTATGGAGAAAACAGTTCCCCAAAATAATTTCCCAATCTTTCCCATCACTGTTATCTTGTTATTTACTCTCAGTCATCTTCAGTACAATCTCTTCATGCTCTCATTTACCTGTCCAAAATAAGGAATTCCTCTTCTGTAGTGATGATCCACATTCTCAAACTGTAAACTGCTCATCACTTGAGTTATGGAAATAGACTGAGTAGCTGTAAGTTGCAGACCTGTAAGACATGCCCAGAGTCAAAGGAAAATACACTTTGTCTTGCATCTTGTATCTTCATCAGACTTAACATTGCATGGAAATATGCTTATAAAAATGGACATTCTTCTTCAAAAATATATCTTTGTGCTCAGAAAACAAGAGTTGAATACTCCTTCCTTTCTTTTTTGTTCATACCACTATTGTTGTTACTGATTGTGTAGAAGGGATTACCTGTTCCTTTCTCTGTGACAGTGGCTTTCACATCAAGATTCCTCTTGTAACCAATGCGATTTAGTTCAAAAACCTCGGAGCTGAGAACTTGGGAGAGGCAGCCATCTGTATCCAGCTGGAAAGTGAAGAAAACTAATCCTGTTACAAGAATCACAGCTTACAAAAGATATTGGTAATATACAAGACCTTTATTTACTGATGTCTTTAACCATTACTGAAGTCTTGTGCAGATGCTTCTTGTGACATTGCCTTACACCTATGATCCAGGACAGCATGCTGCATTTATAAGTCCATCAAACTCCCATTTTTTCTGTCTTATGAAGTGTCCAGCATTGCCTGGAAACAGTGGGAGATGAATGACACTCCCATCAGTTTTGACAGGAGAGGAGACCAAGAAACTCTTGCAAATAGTTGTTCTATCTTACTCTCCCTGTCAGGCAGCTCTTGACTCTGGGGAGTCTGGGAGAATACTGATGCATCCAGAATCAATCGTGAGCACATTACATGTTCTCTTTTCTTTCCATTACTTTTTAATTTCTTAGTACACTGTCTTAGAAACACAGTGTTGCATAGTATTGAATGAACACAGATCATCTCTGCTTACAATGATATTTAATCAGTGAGACAAATGAAAGTTCTTGGGTCTGTATACTTTCTACATCCACAGATCGCTTATTCTACCTGATAAATGACAGGCCTTCCACAGCAGAGTGAAAATGGGCAAAAATTGTTTACTGAATTTTATCAGTTCTCTGCTGTCAAGAGGAAAATTTTCCAAAGCTTTCAAAAGGGAGTATTCTCTCATTACTTTCAAAATTATTATACAGGACAGGATCATTATGCACATTTCAGGTGGGAAACTGAGAAAGAACATGTCTGTACTTCATCAGGCCTAAAACCAAGAAGATAATTAAATGCTCTGAGTTCCTGGAAGCAAATAGATGAACAGAGTAAAGTAAAGCAACAATGAAAGAAAAAAAAAGTGCAGCCAGCAAAGGAAGAGATGCACTAGCACTGAGGAGAGAGCAAGCATAAAGAGCAATAATTATGCATCATACATCTTTGGTAAATGATTGACAAACTGGGCTTTTCTTGCACCTCCCATATGAATCAAAATCCCTGCACACACTGAGCTGGACTTTCCCCTCAACAGGCTGGCCGTAGGTGTACCTGGGAGAAGAAGAAATAGGTCTATGAGACGATGCTTGAAAAACTGACTTAAATTAACCTGTTCAGGAATAGACCCAGGATGACCAGTGACCTGGCAAGCCAGGGACTGGAGTAATTTCACAGGCATTTTCTTAATTCTCCTTCCAGAAGGATAATACAAATGTGAAGTTGAAAAACTGGTAAGTTTTACTTCACTCACAAACCAAAGCTATGCCGTAAATGTCAAAATAAATACATCTATAAGATTGGTGGTCAAAAATTACTTCTAAATTATGACTGTTTTCTCCACTGTTTATCTTAGATTGAAGTCCTAGACTTATTGAGATCAAAATGAAGCTTCTCGTAACTGCAAGTGGTTCAAGGCTTCAGCCTTCTATAATAAATTATGAGATCTTGTACCTGGGTCATGGCAATCCCCACTATCAGTACAAGCTGGGGGATGAAAGAATGGAGAACAACACTGCTGAAAAGGACTTAGGAGTATGGGTGAATGGCAAGCTGGACATGAGCCAGCAGTGCACGCTCACAGCCTGGGAAGCCAACCATATCCTACACTTGGTACTTACACTGCGCAGATTTTCACTGTCAATTCTGAATCCATGACTGTAAGACTTTTTGGTGCAGTGAATGTAACATCAAATTTTGGCAACACTACAACAGACAACAACAAACCAACGTTGGCATTATTGTCAACTTGCAGGTTGAGATAAAATAGAGAATGAGGTTATATCATTAGTCAGAGATGGAGTACCAGCTCAAAACTGGGGTGTCAATATGCCTCAGAAGCAATATGACACGTGAAGACTAATGTAGCTGTTTTTTGAAAGCTGTGAAGAAAAGTCAAAACTTATGAATGATGAATTCTGTGATGTCTAGAAGCACTGCCCAGCTTTGGCCAGGAAAGCTGATGGACCAGCCTGCAAGAAGGTTACATCGTCACAGTGGATTTTTCCATCAGTTCATTGATCTGTTATGCAGATTCTTTTCCCAGCTGAATCTGTGCAAAATGGTTAATCTTTTTTCTCTGTCTTTTTTCTTCTTTTTTCACAGCTATACGGTGTTATATTTGCTAGAGAGCTGTTTAAAGTGTTACCAATCAAAAGGATTACTTGATAAAGATTTATCTCTGTTCATGTTTTCTACTCTGATTTAAAACCAGAAGGTAGCATTTACCGTATTCCTCCACAAGGAATGAGTGATTTGTTTTCTCTCCTGATTTCTTTGTTACAATAATTTTGTAGTTTCCTAGTATAGGCTCTTCAGCTAATGGGAATTCAAACTGGACAATGTTAATCTCTGATGTCACATTTTGCCACTGGAAGATCCTGTTGCTTTGTGGATCCTGAGGGGAAAAAATA